CGCAGTAAACAAAAGTATTACATAAAGAACGTAATAAATATATACAAAATATATTAACCTTATTATCTAAACTAAATTAAAGTACAATAGTTAACCAATTTCATCGATAGATGGTGGTGTGGCAAAAATGTGATACAAAAGGCAGGTTAAAATTTTTGAAATTAAGTTCATTTAATCTTTGTTTTATTGAAATTGGTTAATTCTATCGAAAGTTATGATTATTATTTTGAAATGTAGGTTCGAATTTGTTTAATGGCGCCACAAAAACTCAGAAATAGTAATAAAAAGATTCGTGTGTAAAAAAAAACGTTCTATTATAATATATTTCGTATCGTTCTATTATAGTACTTAAAACACAGTAAAAAATATGTATTCCTTAAATTAAAAAAGAATGTTTTCTCACAAAGAACGTAATAGATGGCGTTGTACAAATTACAACCTTTTCTGAATTGCGGTGTTAAGATTTTTCACAGGTGAATCGTATTGAGACTCACTGAAAGGCTGACGAAGGGTGTAGGTTAGACAACACATCACAAAAATGATCAGAAAGAAAAACCAGAAAAAAGAGATATTGAAATATTCAATTCAATTATTCAATTCGACTAAAAGTCGCAAAATTGCAATAAATGTCGTGATAGTGATATTGATTTATACCCACAATCCCTCTAATACCAAATAACTTTTCTTTCAGTTTTAAGTAAAGTAAAGTAAAGTTGCAGCCTATTTACGTCCCACAGCTGGGCACAGGCCTCCTCTCATTTCTGAGAGGGTTTTAGGGCAAGGAAATGCCCACCGCGCTGCCCCAATACGTGTTGGCGAATTTCACATGTCATCGAAATATTTTTTTGATTTCTCAGACATGCAGGTTTCCTTACGATGTTTTCCTTCACCGCCGAGCACGTGGTAAATGAGCACTTAAAATTGCAATTAACAATTTAATTGGTGCCGGCGGGGATCGAACCCGAGTTGCTCGAGTACTGTAAAGCTTACAGCGAGCGCTAACCATCTGAGCTACCACGGCTCAGGCTTCAGTTTCAAGATAGGGATAATAACATCAATGTTCGATGTTTAGGCTACTCAAAACATCGATGTTGACCATTATCGATGGTTTTTGTATATGTGTAGATACTTACACATTGTTTCAAAATTATGTGGGTATACACAGCATGGGAAAAGTAACAATTAACTTGAATATCAATTTACGTAGAATAGTTATTATGCGACAACCGACAACGACACTACAAAATAAAGCGAAAGCAGTGACCATTGTGACATTACAGGAGACACTTGACGATTAAGTTTGACTCACCATACTGACATTTTTTTAGGTTAACGATGCGTTCAGAAATTCTGAATTATACAAAATTTTTAATCTTCAGAGCAGATGCAATATTTAGTTATATTGATTTCGCGAGTTCTCATTGTTTGCAAGTTCCCAATTATCGATTATGGGTTCATTGACGTCGATGTTTCGATGTTTGACATATGTCAACATCGATGTTAAAACATCGAAGTTTTAATTTTTAACATCAATGATCATCTAACATCCCTATTTTCAGTGTGTTTCCCACTCAGCGTGTGTTATACGACGATCGTAAATAAAGCGCAAGGTCAAACTTTACGCGTTGCAGGAGTGGACCTCAGTACTGATTGTTTTGCACATGGCCAACTCTATGTTTGTTTTTCCCGCGTTAGTAGTCCCCGTAACCTTTTTCTGTACGCCCCGGCTAAGTCTACTTCTATCGTCGTTTACACAGAAGTTCTATCATAAACGACTTAGAACTTTGAGCATATCGATTTATTTTGTTACCACTTATTCATACAGTAATGATATAAATCGTTTAATATTCTCTTACCCTAAACGTCAAATTCTTTAAGTAAAACCTATATTCGCGAGCTACGCCGCGGGCACAGCTAGTTCTAAATAAATTATTAATTAGTTATCAATATATTAAAAAACTATAAGTAAAAATGTTTCGCATCTAACAACTTATATTAAAAATAAATATAAAGATAATAACTTATATCTAAAATTAAATTTGTTGTTATCGATAATGGCGTTGCGCCCTCGCAACATGCTTACCGCCCTAGCCGGGCTGAGGCCGAGCTATGATTTATGACCCCAACTGCACGCACAAAATAATTTTACTATAGTGTTTAATATAATGGATTTTCGCAATGTAACACCTGATTCTATTGATAATCTTTTTGTCTTGTCTTACTACGCGGGCGAAGCCACCTCTGTCGTTTTTTAACATCCTTTCCGATTTCAGTCAACTTTTCGCTTTGGTTTTATTTTTAGGATGTGAGTACGAGGGGTGATCCAAAAGTAATCATTGATAGTCAATATTAAACACGGGGATTATTGTTAAAAAAATAATTTATTTTTCCACATAATCTCCTAACAAGTCAATGCATTTAGTCTATTTTTGTTCTAAACCCAGAATTCCCTTAGAAAAAAAAAATCTTTATTTTGACGCTCAAAAAAAGCCTCAACAGCGTCCATGACTTCGCTATCGTCTGCAAATTTCTTGCCTCAAAGGTGTTCCTTGAGCCGAGGAAATAGAAGTCACTGGGAGCTAGATCTGGCGAATAGGGCGGGTGTTCGAACAGTTCAAATTCCGTTTCTTGAATGGCAGCCATCGCAACTGCGGCTTTGTGAGGCGGAGCGTTGTCTTGTTGAAACAGCACTCCAGCTCGCAATTTGCCGCGTCTTTTTCTTTAATAGCCCCCTGTAATCTTCTTATTTGGCCTGCGTAGTCGAGAGTATAAGCCCAAAATAATGGCTCCCTTTTCCAATTATTTCACCATAATTATTCCTTCAGCGTCCCCAAAAACGGACGCCATAACCTTTCCCGGCGAACTTGACACTTTGAATTTCTTTGGCGTCGGGAGGAGGCTCGGTTTCATACCGTTGATTGTTGTTTGGCTTCAGGAACGAAATGGTAGATCCAGGTCTCGCCCACGGTCACGAAACCTTATAAAAAATCTGATCTGCTTGGAACCTTTCGAGATTCACCCTCGGAATGTCGACAAATTTTTTCTTTTACTCGTCGGTTAACATTCTCGGTACCCAACGCGCAGAGATCCTTTTCATATGCAATTCGTTCGCAAGGGTTCTTTGAACACTGCCATATGAGATACCTGTGACCTCAGCTATATGCCTGATGGTCACACTTCGATCTGCCAATACGATATCTTCGACTCCTTTCACTTTATCTTCAGTGAGGGATGTGGATGGGCATTCATCTTCCGTGGAAGTTCAGCCCAGCTTAACCTCCTTGGCCCAGCGTGCAACTGTGAAAGGAGCAGAGTCCCTCAATATTTCACCAAGTCGCTGTGTATGTCTTTGGTAGACATTTTTTAAACAGAGGGAACTCTCATTTAATTTTTCTCCATTTTATTAGGTCAAGAATTAAGGTTCCGCGCAAACACATAAAAACCCTAACACGTGAGCGAAGTCGCGGGGAACAGGTAGTAGAGGAATAAATGTAGAATAGCGGTTTTTTTAACTTTCATGCAAGTCTTTTCATTGTTGCTCTGCGTCTAGCTTCGATTGTTAAGTTTCTTACATTAGTGCCTGCCAGTAGCTGGAGACCTTCCGTACAGGCCCTGACGTTTGGCGCGTAAAAAATAAAATGTCCTAGCGCTTGACGGGTTAGCAATAATCAATATCTAACTGAGAGGTGTAGCCTAATGCTATACTATTCCTATACTATTCATCCTCCTCATGAATCTGGCTATAATATAGAAAATCATTTTTTTCAAATCGGACTGATAGTTCCAGAGATTGGCGTGTTTAAACAAACAAAAAACTGTTATGTTATGTTATGTTCATGTTATTTTTATGTTTATGTCATATTCTCTTACTCCTTAGGTGTCGTTCCAACCTTATGAAAGGCAGCCTTAGTGCATGCGATTCCTAAAAAAGGCTGGGACCTATCCAAATACAGGCCTGTCACCATCACCTTCTAGTTCTCCAAAATAATGGAATCTATTATTAACTGCTAGCTCACGTGTCACGCGGTACCTTGAAGAGCAAAAGCTGATTAGTGACCTTCAATACGGTTTCCGTCGAAGCTGTTAGGATCGATAGGACGGAAACAGCGTGTATGGATGTATGTATACATACATACACACCTACTTACAAAATTAACTATTTTATGGGTGCCAGTGGAGAAAGGACCTCTTAATATTCCCGTAAACTTCCACTGCTGAACATGGAAGGATCTCTCCCTACGCAGGAAGGATTTGCCTTGAGAGTCACGCTTGGCATAGGACTGACGATCGCAGAACCAGACGTGAGCACCTCTGGCAATGTCGCCTGGCGCCGGTCTGGATATTTTACATCTGAAGTAAACGAGGTGGTTATACCGCCATCTGTCGGAAGCCATCAGATTTTTCTAGCAAATCCATAGTCGCCTCTTACGAAACCCACGGGACAAAATGTGATGATGAATTCTCTTATACCGCACTTACACGCCATCTTCGACCGTGTGTGTATAATACTAGTTCTGTGTGGAATTCGAAACAGCGATTATTAGATTAATGTAAATGTAACATGGTCAGAAAAATCATTCTTTCCCTCCAAAAATGAATATGAGAGACATTATTCGGAGTAATTGACTAAAATACTTTATATCTGGCAACAATATTTAGTTAATTTAGTAATATTATTGTGTAAAACACTATAATTTCTTTATTTCTCCCTGGGTTAACTGATAGAGAATGCCATAAGGCTTAAACTCCGCCCATTGTAAACCGTTTAAGGTGTCTTTCAATAAAGATGCAATAACTTACAATAAATAAAAAGTTTAACTTCGACAAATCATTTTTCAGAAACTTCTGAGAAGAAGATTAAATCAAATTCTACTGATTGTAACATAAACGATGTTCGTGAAGAAGACCTCGATTTTGAAGGCCCTACTATTAAATCAAACCCTAAAGTGAAAAAAGATAATCAACCAATTAATAAAAAAGGAAAGCATCCTGCAAAGATTATGAAAAAGAAAATTTTTAAACAAAAGAGTTTAAATATACTTAAGAAAAAAATATCTGAGACATCAACTGAATACATTTTTGAATGTGATGTTTGTAGTAAAAAATTTTCAACAAAAGACATTCTCGTCAAACACATTTCATACAGTCATAAGACGCAAAAGAACTCAGACACCACTGCAGTTTGGACACAAGTAGAACAAACTCCAGTGCCACAACAAATAGAAATATTTAATTGTGATATTTGCGAATTTGAAACATCTCAAAAGCGTTTCATTATGGCACATCTTAAAGCGCACGTCGCTAAACAAATGTACTGTTGTAATAATTGTGAATATAAATGTATTAGAAAATGTGATTTGCAAACACATATGAAAATACATACCGGAGAAAAACCTTTTTCGTGTAATATCTGTGAATATAGATGTATTGGAAAAAGTAGTTTGCAAACACATATGAAAATACACACTGGAGAAAAACCTTTTTCGTGTAATATCTGTGAATATAGATGTATTGGAAAAAGTGATTTGCAAACCCATATGAAAATACACACCGGTGAAAAACCTTTTTCGTGTAATATCTGTGAATATAGATGTATTAAAAAAAGTCGTTTGCAAGAACATATGAAAATACACACCGGTGAAAAACCTTTTTCGTGTAATATCTGTGAATATAGATGTATTACAAAAAGTCTTTTGCAAAGACATTTAAAAACACACACTGGCGAAAAACCTTTTTCGTGTAATATCTGTGTATATAGATGTATTACAAAAAGTCATTTGCAAAGACATTTAAAAATACACACCGGTGAAAAACCTTTTTCGTGTAATATCTGTGAATATAGATGTATTAGAAAAAGTAGTTTGCAAGAACATATGAAAATACAGCCTGGCGCAAAACCATTTTCGTGAAATATGTTGTACAATATTGTGTAAACGTGTTTTATATAAATATGTGTGTACCAGACAAAAATCAATTTTTTGTGATTTTGTGATGTAATTGTATAACGAATAGAAAAACCTTTCCGTGCCGTATGTGCAAATTGAAACTGCATTTATTCTGAAGAAGTTAATTCAATACCTAATGCAATATATTGTACAACCGTATGCAATATAAATTATTAATAATAATTCAAAAACGATTGGTCAGACCTAGATCAAATTTATATGAGACCACATGTGAAGCAAATGTCAAATAAAAAAAGAATTATGAAAATCGGATCATACAGAAAAAGTTAAGAGGTAATAAACATATAAAAGAACATGCAGTCGAGTTGATTACCTCCCCCTTTTTGAAGTCGGTAGAAAGCAAAAAATATTGGAACCTTAAAATAAATACCCAATGTGTGAATGGAGGTTAGTGAAACAGACAGGACCTTCATGTTTTTTTTTAAATTTAAATGACAGCTTTATCGTTTGTTTTTTTTTTCGCATCGACGTTTATCTTTACCGTTTTTTTATATATGAGAGGGGGCAAACGAGCATGCAGTTCACCTGATGGTAAGTGACTACCGCCTAACAACTAAAACACCAGGGGAATTGCAGATGCGTTGCCGGCCTTTTAAAAAGATTTTTTTGCGGTAACTGAATAAAAAGTTAACACCTATTTACGCTTTGTGATCTCATTTTAAATTAAATAAAACAATAATTTACTGTAAATTATATAATTTTTGAGTGCTTGAGTTCATAAATATACAGTACTTACGTAAATTCAACAGTGTATATTATGTGAAGTGACTCTTATCTGCCGACTTCCAAAAAGGAGACGGTACTTAATTCGACTGTATGTTTTTTTATGTGTTACCTCAATAGAATAGAATAGAATAATTTTAGAATAGAATAGAATAGAATAATTTTAGAATAGAATAGAATAGAATAATTTTTTATTCAATATAGATCACATGTGTAATTCTTATTGAAAGTCATTTTTTACTTTACCACTGGTTCGAAAAAAACCTCTGTCCTGGGAAGAACCAGCAAGAAACCCAGCGGGACTTTTTTTTTAAAGCAAATTTTACAATAATGGTTGTACAAACTATATAAGTACAAAATTTATTTTAGAAACAGCTTGGTAGCGGTCACCTTATTCCCAGGGGTTATTATCAACCATGTATTCATTTATACTATAATAACCCTTTTTATACAGTTTCAACTTAACAAAACATTTAAACTTGCTAATAGCCTGTACACTTTCCGGGACCTTGTTGTAATAGCGTATACATTGCCCCAAGAATGAATTACTGACTCTGTGGGGTCAAGAAACTGGTATCACTAGCTTGTGTTTGTTCCTAGTGTTTACATAATGCACATCACTTTTTTTACTAAAACTACCTTTGTTTTTGTGAAAATTTATTAAATTTTCGTAAATATACTGAGAGGCCAACGTTAATATATTTATTTCTTTAAATTTATCTCTAAGAGACTCTCTCGGTTTTAGGTTGTAAATAGGTCTCATGGCCCTCTTCTGTAAAACAAAAATAGTTTCTGAATCAGCCGCATTTCCCCATAGCAAAATCCCATAAGAGATTATGCTATGGAAATAACTGAAATAAACTAATCTAGCTGTCTCGACACTAGTGAGACCTCTAATCTTTTTTACAGCATAGGCTGCAGAACTTAGTCTGCTTGCTAGTTTGGAATATGGGGGCCCCACTGAAGCTTTGCGTCGAGAGTGATGCCAAGAAAAACAGTGGATTCTACAGGGCTCTGTTCTTCCCCATTTAAAACACATTGGTACTCAGATTTTTAACATTCGTTGTTGTAAATTAAATACATTTAATTTTATTTCCGTTTAAATGTAGATAATTAACGTTAAACCAATACACTAATTTTGAAATAGCATTAATCACTTCGTCACATTTAAATGATTGACGTTTAAGTTTAAAAATCAAGGAAGTATCATCAGCAAATAATACTATATCATGATTATCCTCTACAAGAGAAGGTAAGTCATTAATATACACTAGAAATAGGAATGGGCCGAGAATCGAGCCCTGAGGGACACCCATTAGTACAGGTGACCCGGAAGAACTTTTACCATTGATAATAACTTTCTGCATTCTATTACTTAAATATGAAATAATAAGTTTAAGCGCTGTGTTCTTGACACCATAGTACTGTAGCTTCCTGATTAATGTCTCATGGTTAACACATTCGAAGGCCTTGGAAAGGTCACAAAACATACCCAAAGCATGCACAAAAAATATGTTTAATAAGCTCAACTCCAGCGTCAGTTGTCGAGCGACCCCTTGTAAAACCGAATTGATTTCTATGTAGCAATTTATTAATATTAAAGAAACTTAACATCTGATCTAAAATTATTTTTTCAAAAATTTTACTAAATGTTGGTAGTACAGAAATTGGATTAAAATTGGCGGTGCCTAATGTGCTACCAGATTTAAATAAAGGTATGACTACTATGTTTCATTAAATCAGGAAACACAACAGATTCGACGCTTGTATTAAATATAGTGGCTAGATACGGTGCTATTATATCTATTATAGATAAAATAACTTTAACGGAAATCCCCCATAAATCTGCCGTTTTCTTAACATCAATAGTTTTAAATCATTTAACGATATCTTGTGGCAGTAATCTATGGAATTTAAAAGTATTTGAACAAGCCTTTACATTTTGTTTGAGCAATGATTCGGCGACAGCATGAGAAGAAAATAATGATTTATTTGTCAAAAAAGGAAAATCAGTAAAATGTTTCCCAAAAGCCATAGCAACTTCTTGATCAGATCGGGTTAAATTATTGTTAATATTCAATTGAAAATCCGAGTTGCGCGGTTTGACCTTGCCCGTTTCACTGTTTATTATTCTCTAGGTCATTTTAATATTGTTAGATGCAGTTTTAATTTTGTTACTTAAATGTAAAGCCTTAGCAGTGGAGCACACTTTAAATATTCAAGAATATGTTTTTACATAATCTCTAAATATAACACTACTATTATATGATCTTTCATTATAAAGCTCGTATAACTTTCACCTACTCTTATAAATTCCTACTGTCGCCCATTCATTTAATGATTTGCGACTGTTAAAAGAGAGAGTTTTAGAAGTAAATATTCTACTAAATTCACAAGTTATAATTTTAAATAACGTACCATACAAATAATTAGCACTGTTTTTAAATGAAAGTGATGGAAGTCTTTTTATTATATTACTTCTAAACCTCTCCAAGCGATGTTCATTTATTGGAACAAACACAACTTTCTTATTTTTCTGTTTCTTGTATATGTAAGGCAATGATACCAACTGTCCACAGTGATCTGAACTTAAATTTTGAATAATTGATTTATGCAAGGGCTTAACATCTGTAAAAATGTTATCTATACAGGTCGCACTAGGCCCAGCAATACGTGTTGGTTCTAAGAATAAATTTACAAGATTATACGATTTAAACAATGAGCTAAACTTAATACTAATGGAAGAAGTTTCAAGGAGATTGATGTTAAAGTCTCCACATATTACAACAGACTTGTTCTGTTTACTAAGTTTGAGCTATTCTATTCTATTCTATTCTGGCACCACTGCAGTCAGTCACCACAACAAACAGAAATATTTAATTGTGATATTTGCGAATTTAAAACATCTCATAAAGGTTACATTTTGGCACATCTTAAAGCGCACGTCGCTAAACAAATGTACTGTTGTAATAATTGTGAATATAAATGTATTAGAAAAAGTAAGTTGCAAACACATATGAAAATACACACCAGAGAAAAACCTTTTACATGTAATATCTGTAAATATAGATATATTAGAAAAAGTGATTGGCAAAAACATATGAAAATACATACTGGTGAAAAACCTTTTTCGTGTAATGTATGTGAATATAGATGTATTTCAAAAAGTTGTTTGCAAATACATAGTAATAAAAAAAAATAAGTGGTAATCAAACAAAAGAGTGACTTTCAATAAGTATTATTTATAATCTATATTGAGTAAAAAAGTTTCTGTTTCTGTTTCATATGAAAATACACACCGGAGAAAAACTCATAACTTTGTACTGGGTGAACCGATTTCGATGATTCTTTTTTATATGAAAGCTGATAGTTCTCGTGTGGTCCCATATGAATCGATTTGATTAAAGTCAGACCAATAGTTTTTGAGTTATTCTTAAATAACTTATATTGAAGTCGGCTGTACAAAATTTTAAATTTTAAATTATTAAGTACACCACCTGCCAGCACAGCACGCTTACATTACATATTTGAGTTTTATTAACCCATTGTTACTTAATTGGATACTATACAATGTCTCAAATTGTGGAGATTAAAACCGCACAAAATAGCCTGGAGGAATGCTTCTCTAAGAGAATGGCCGAACTGGAAGCACAGCTACAATCTGGGGGACCCGCAAAGGATACTGTTGCAAAGGTGGCAGAGGAGTTCCGGACCTTCCGAGAACTCATGTTCTCCATGCTAGGTCTGCTTCGCAAGCAAATTAATGAGTGCTCCCGCATGGTTGATGTCATTGATACGAGACAACGACGTAAGGCCCTCATTTTCTTGGGAAATCGCCGTAATGGATAAGGAGGACTGCAAGGCTGCTGTACTAAACACAATCATCAAGATGAAACTGAGTGACATAACAGGAACTTCTATTCGTGCTTGTCATAGGATTGGAGTAGCCAATATTGACGGCTCCATGGCGCAGTGGCTTAGCAATGAGTTGCTGCGCTGGGGGCCGCGGGTTTGAATCCCGCACGGAGCAAGTATTTGTATGACCTACAAATAATTGGTCCGGGTCTGGATGTTTGTCATTGTGCAATTTGTGTTTGTAAACTGCCTCCACGACACAGGAGAAAATCCTAGTGTGGGGGTAACTTTTTTTTAAATAATAATAAAAAAAAATAAAGACCATCATCGGCCAATCCTTGTAAGGTTTGCTAGTGTTGAATCCA